CCAGTAGCCCCACTGTCCTTCATAAATACTAATTTTCAAAGCGAAAGGGGAATAAAGCATGTCGGCAACAGAACTGCTCTCAGCGCTATTCCCTTTTGCGTGATGCTCCTTGCATAGTTAGGTTTCCTGTTCTTTTCCTTACCTTTTTTTCTTTTTCTTTTCTTTTCTTTTTTTTTTTTTTTTTCTTCCCTCCCCCCCTCCAACACTAAAAGTGAGGCCAAGTCTGATGCTTTGTCTGTTTTGTGCTGGCTGCTGGAGATGAGCCTAGGCTTGACCTGACCATGATTCTAAGGACTGGCATTTCTTTTTTACCCCCAATTTGTAGAGATCCAGACCTTCTCTTCCTGATTGTCAAGAAAATTAAATTATTGCTGATTTTGGGAATCTAGGCAGCACCAGCTTACTTTTTCCCCGTGTCTCTCTGGAATCGTTTCTGGGATATTTTCCAAATCATCACAGAAGGCAGGAGGAATGAACCGTCAGCTAGTGAAAATTTTGACAACCTTGTTTGCATTTTTCTTAGAGACAAGCCACTTCAGGTAGGTGATATGACTCTATGTGATGATTTTTGTCAAAAGCTTGTGGGAATAGTAACTATAAAGATGCTACGTCACATTAACCTAGTTTGTTTGCTATTTTTGAGAGTATTTCGTGTTCATTCTATATAGGCTATCCCTCTTATACTCAGAGACTCGTTGCTTGGTAACAAACACCAAAAAAAATAAATCTCAAGTTTCGGTGATCTGTTTTCCATTTCTATGCTTCAAAGACAGGCTTTTCCATTGAGTATCAATATAGGTAAAAACGTTATCTTCAGTTTCTCTTCCAAATTACAAATTCTCTGCTCCCACCAGAGGCTGTTTAGGAAGTTGCTTTGGTTCCCTCCTCTTCAGGCTCTGGTAATGATCGAACTGGTTTTGCTAGGGATGTAGTTATTTGCAACTACAGAGCCAGTGCTTTGATTTTGGGAAAACCCTGGATCAGACTAGGATTGTGCTCACTTAAAGTACCACTCCATATGATTGTTGTTTCTAATTTTGCTTTTAATGTTTCGTGTGCTTTTGCTTCAGCTATTGACTTTTTGCCATATGAAGCAAACAGGTCAGTCTTATTGACCAAAACATCATTTTAGCTGAGGGTCATTATTAAACTGTACTGTGTATCTACACATGCACACATATAGGGTGTTTTCCTATGAGTAGTGAGGTATATGTACAGTGACAGAGTGAAACACTGTCTATATTTCTGCGTCTTAGATCACAAAGCAGCTCATAGCTACTGGGCTCTGAATGACAACAGAAGTATTTTGGGTAGGAGCTTCCCAAATAAGTGCACTGGATTAATTTTCCAGTTTTTATATACCTTATCTGAATGTTTTAAGTGGGGAATGTAATCTGTTGTGTAGTAAAAATCTAATATATTTTGTAATGCTACCGTGTCATTGACGAAAGCAAAAAGAGCAACCACCCTCTGTAAATGGAACCCGAAAAAAGCGGGGAATCACACCACGAGAATTTACTATCACCTTGCCTTTTAACAGTCCTGGTGCTTTTCTAAAAGGATCATGGAAGTGATATTTGCTTCTCATTTTAGGGACTCACATGTATACCTAATTGGTTTATACTTGTCTAGAAATGCACAAAAGAACCCGTGAAACACTCCTGAAATGCAGTGGTTCCCTTCAAGGAGATGTATAAAGGAAAGTGAGTGGTTAAGAAGACACAGTCATAGAATTACTTTAAATATAGCTCAGAGATATTGTTGAAACATAGACAGAATGAAATTGGTTAATAAAGAAACAAGATAATGCTGTATGATTAAATCTGTGCCTCTACACACCACATATGACCATTTAATTTTAGTTTGCTTTTTTTTTTCCGTAGGGAACAACCACAGGGAAGTCCTAAATTCTGCTCGTCTGCAATATATAATGTGCTTGCAGTATATAATATGCTATGTACATGGCATTTTGCATGCACAATATGGTACCAGAAGTCTGCTCTTAAATCCTGAAAGCAGAGATGTGTTCCAAGAGCTTACATATAAATACCAGCTGGTGATAATAACAATAAATTTTATTACTCAATGTTCATTGGTAAAACCTCCTGAAGATCAGATGTGACTGACTCTGGAACCGTTTTTGCAGTGTTGGGGAAAAATCCAGACATTCACTAGCATGACTTAAATCTTTGTTAGGTAGCATCTGTAAAAAAACATTACTTTTTTCATCTATATCCTTCCCAACATTAATAAAACAAATGATTTTCAGTGTTATCTGGTGAGTGTTGCCAGCTAATGTTTGGAAGTTTAAGACCACCTTAAACAAGTGTTAACATATAGTTTTAACAGCATACATGTAATTAAAGCAATTATATGACATAGGATATCAAAGTCCCTGTAAGATTATTTTACACATTAAGATGAAGAGTAAATTGAATCTTCTGAAGTCTGAAAGCTGTAATGAATTTCTTTTTTAAACTGAGGGCTTTATTTTTTTCTGAATACCAAATTGTGTCCACACATACTACTTTAAGCTCACTTTTATTTCTGAAGCTTGCTGATGAAAAATAAACTATATTGTTCTATAAAAATATTAATTTCTACATTCACTGAATTAAGACAGTTTTATTTAGTGCTATAATTTCTCCACGACTTGAATAAAATACAAGCTAAATATTAGCTAATGGTGACTAATAATTTATTTAGGACGACTTTCTGTAAAGAACATGATTCAAGATCTGGAAAATCCCCCTCACAGACACTGTCTCCTTCAGATTTTTTGGACAAATTGATGGGAAGGACATCGGGGTATGATGCTAGAATCAGACCAAATTTTAAAGGTAAGTTTTTTTAAGACTTCTGATTATTTAATAGATTATGGTTTGGACAAATTATAGATTTGTGGGATTTATGTCTGGGTTCCAATTCTCTTTTCAATAACCAGCTTTCCACTGTGATAGTGTCATGGAGATCAGTTGATCCATGGGGAGAACTAGGAAAGCAGTGCATGTAATTAGGAATCCAGCACTTGAAACCCCACTTTTCACCTGAAAATAAAGTTTAGCTGTCAGAGGGTGCTTCTGAAGAACTTAATAATTCCATGTAGTAAATTGGATTCCAGGTTCCAGACTAAAAGCAATCCAGATGACTTCCTGAAATTTTTAACCCATGGAGACAACATCTTTACACTTCTGTGCTGAGTTGTTGTCTTCTTTATAGCAGTGTGTGAAGAAAACATCTATTGTCTGAAGAAAAAGTCTATCATTTTGTTCAACTTGATGAAAGTAAAACCTTCCTTCTCAAAGTAGGGAGATAGAACTCAAGGTATGCACAGAGATTTTATCCTGAATATGTTGACTGAATGATGAGAACCAATCTCTCAGAATCCCCAGAAAATACAGAAAACATATTCTGTTTTTCATTTCCTTGACACACCCCTCTTTTCTTCCAAAATTTGGACTGAGTTGTGGAGAGTCACCACCATCATTCCAGTAAAAAAAAGGAGGTGGATTGGAGGTTTATTTTGCAACCATTACTATTCACAATAAGTTTTCCTTGCTGTTGCCTTGTAAATCCCTGTGGAAGTGAGCACGGAATGTCTTGTGGCTTTGAAAGAAAGGAGTCGGGAGAGAAGTTTTCCTTGCAAGTATTTGGCATTTCTGGAGAGCCCTATAATTCCACCAAAACTGGCTCTTCTATGTCAATTTGAGTATCAGAATGTGATTTTACTCTGAAAATGGATAAAATGCTTTCTTCCGTAACAAATCTGATACCAACGTACATTTGCACTCGTGTCTATCAGCTTTGGTCATTGAAATGCACGTTTTTCTGTATTGAGCTGTATTAGCAGCGTTGTGAAAGTTAATAACAACTGGAAAAAACCCAATCATTTCTTGATGAAAGAACAGTTAGGAGAAAGGAAGCTCACACATCAATGAGAAAAGTGTTTAATTTAATTTAGATCAAAGATCAGTTTCTTCTCTCTGTTCCACACATGCGAAATACAAGGTTTGGAACAAAGGGGCTTTTTTTTTGACTGCTTCCTATTCCTGAGTGAGGAGGAACCTAGTGTGACATTCAGATCCAAAGGTTTGAAAGCTGGCAAGGTAAAGAAACTCTATTCAAGGAATTGTTAAATTTTAATTTCAAAACTGTTTTCAGAGTGCTTATTGAGTTTCTGGAGTCGACATTAGCTGGTAGAAAGTAATATTGCATTAAACTCTCATGTTCCTTTTGTGCTTTTTAATGAGAAATGAAGTTTTAGAGAATGCATATGAAGACAGAAATTGCCTGAACTGAGCAATCATTAGGAACTTATTCCTGCCCTTCGTATGGTAAGGATACTAAAAGAATGTTTCTGCTTCATTTCTTGTAGCTCACATAAAACCATGAATAGTAGCAGTCCCTGTACATAGGATGACCTAAAAACAACCTGTTGTTGCTCCCCAGTACATGTCTAAAGCCATTTCATGGAAAACACAGGGGAAAAGAGATTCACAGCTCTATTACCCTGATGTTCAAGTGGGCAGAGCAGGTATGGTGGGCATGACATTGTATGGTGCATGCTGAGCAATTTGACAGACACCTCTCCTCTCCAAATCCCATGGTTTGTTTGTGTCCCCAAGATAAAGCTGCTGCCTGATGACACTTATGAACCCTTAATGGCAAGGAGGCTGCCATTTCATATTTTTCTACTTTTATTAGGTCACATTGCAGAGCAGGCTGGTACTTGGCAGCAGTTTGAACTTATAAACAGATCTTCAGTGTCTTTTTTTTCATAACTTCACATCTCTGAGCTCTCCTGTAGCTCTCAGTCTTCTGGTGAGGGATCTGAAAGGTTATCTTGTTCTTTGCTATATTCCTTTAAAGGGTATTTTCTATCTCACAACTCAGAACTAGAGAGCTAAGTCATGCAGTTTTGAACTTCATATCATCAGTCAAAACCTTGTCAGCTGATAACCTTTTGCTATTAGTTGATATGATGCATAGCCATGTACTAGTTGCCCAAGTCTTGTTAACCTTCTAAAAAAATTTAAAATGCTTATTGCATTTTTTCCCCTTTTAAAGAATAAGAAATACAGCTACAGAGAGGTCAAAAGAAATTTATCTTGCACGGAGTTATTATAAAGACTTTTTGGTTTTGTACTGAGTCTTTATTGTGACCATGACAGAAATTATTTCAGTTTCTAACATTCATTAATCTGTTTGAGATCTTTTTGGGGATATGAGCTATTGTAGAATACTGATATTCTGAATCATATAAATGGATGGATGGATGGATGAAATGTGGAATGATTACCTAATTTATAACAATTTCGTATTTTAAGGCAAGATCTTTTAAGCATAAAAGAAGTCTGCAGAAACAGTGGTTTAAACTAGGGATCTACTGTCTTGCTTTGCATGTAGTTTGGGGTCAATATTTGTTTCCTATATTCCACAAAAGATGATGTGGATTGGGATAGTTGTGTCACTACTCGTGCATTTTTCTAGCTTCTTCTGCTTTAGAGCAGTTACATGGCTTTCTCTGAGTCCACCGTAAGCATTTTACAATGTCAGAAAAGTCTGATTTCATGGAAAGGCAGGCGAATAGAACTCATTTATCTTATACGATAATTAAATATACTTTTACGACTACTGTGAATTAGCAGCTAGGAGCTATTTGATTATCTTGTGGAGCAAAAGCCACGCATTTTAAAGAGAGATAAAAATGCTAGTTGCTGGAACAAGGTGTTTTATCCAGATAAAGCATTTCATCATTAGTTACTGCTTTTCCCTAACTTGCTCTTGTGAATTAGAAAATTTGGGAAGATAGTGGGAGAGCAACAGGTGTTTATGTATAAGTGTTTAGACATCAACAACAGGGTTGTTTTTTGGTTTAGTTTTGGTTTTGTTTTTAAGAGCGGTACAATACACTGAAAGATCCTTTCTGTTCTTGTATCTTTCTGTCTTATGCAATCATTTGAAAGCAGAGGAGCAGATTTCTGGTTCTTCTTCACACACCAAGTGATTGGATACAAAATGACCAGGCACTGAGAGGGACTGTACCCTTGATGAACATCCAGAGAAAAGTGCAAGAATGACAGCTCTCAAAATTTCCTTTCTTAATCTCTGTCTGTCAAATACCTAATGCATACTTTTTCATCTTACTGTTATTTTTTATTGAATTTCAATAGGCTAGTAGTGTGTGTAAGGACACAGAAGTGAATACAGTTAAATGTAAATATGAAGACTGCAATCTAATACTAATTGAAGTCCCTGAGAGTCTTTCTGTTGAAAAGAAAACGTTTGTTCTGCAAACATACGTGTGTGGTCCTGTGAGTTGACTGCTGATTCTTCTTAATTTATAATATCAGTTTTGCATGGTTTCTGCAAAGTAAGAAAAGGTGAAACCTGCACAATGTACTTTTTACATGATTAATATTAATGTTATATTTTTAATGGTGAAGACCAACAACAACAAATCAGAGTGCTGCCTTTTACTTTCTCTTCTGCTTCACTTTGCTTTTCTCAACAGAACCAGAAGTAGCAGCGTAGGGCACCTGTGTTATAAAATTAGCCAAGAATGTGCTTTCTCGCAGGTAGAAACCAGGGGTGGTGAAGTAGCATCTTAGATTATTGTATATTCAACACAGGCTCCCTCAAGAGCACTATATGCAATGCCCCGATACAAGGGATCAATCTACAACTTAATCACATGAAGCAGGGGGCTAATGGAAAGACAGCTTGAATTTAAAATTTCCTAGCAGGTATTGACCTTCAGAGGTTACTAAATTATTTCCACTTTTAACATCTTCATCTTCTAAATCCACTTAAAATCTAAACATAAGCTGGAAATTATCAGATAGAGAAAGCTATTTATCTATGTGGGTTTTGTCAAACACCTTAAGTAGTAGACTGGCTGTCATGCACTGGGTGACATGAGAAGGGGAGTTTGTCACAAAGAGCTCCAGGTGTTGGTTACCTTCTGGTATGGAAAATGTTTGCAATGAAGATGATAGTGATTTTCTTTTGTAAAGAATTTCATTCTATGTGTTAAGCACATTCTTTCCCATTAATTCATTATTTGCTCAAGAATACCCTAATTATTATGGAGTTACATGGATATGTGCAGCAGCAGTGCCCATTCCTGTTGCCCTCACCACCAGATGGTGTGATACAGTTCGAATGCTTGCTCAAAAGCTGCTGTTTCTGAACTCAGAGAAGTCTTGGAGGGCTGCTGTTTGGGAGTATACTGACTGCAGTTGTAAAAAATTAGCCTGTGATTACAGTGCTGTAATATAATTTTCATGCTGAGTCAGTGGGTTTATATCTGAATAATAAACACATGGACTAAGTAATTTACTGAAAATTAGCTTGACAACTGTTACAGGGAACGGCTTATGCACTTTAATACTTTAACTCCTTGGCAGTAAGGGTCAGTTTTTCCCATACGTTCAAGCCCATTGCTTACTTGTTTGGTTCTTGAGTTGACCAGTAATGAAACACTTAAAACAGCATGAATGGAAACCAATGAATAACATTTAAGGGTGAAATTAGTGGCATAAGGCTTAATACACAAAAGCAGCTCCTATGTACGTGCAAAGAAGAGGAACAGTTTGCAGAAGTTAATCTTAGTCTAGACAAGACACTTCACAGATAGCTGTTGTAAAAACAACCTGTAAATACATATGAATGTTGAAAAACATACCTAAGATAGGCTGCAGGACTGCAGTGATTTGTTCTCCAAGCAGTTAACAACCTTTCCAAAGCCAGACATCAGTGGCTAAAACTACTGGCCGTGAAGGCAGGTGCAGTTCAAAGGCTCAGAGGGCTGTGTCTGACGGAGACTCAAGCCCCATTC